TCCTGGAAGTTAAACTGAGAAGCGTGGTATTTGAAATATTGCTCTCAAATTTAAGAACCTCCCCAACAGATGCACTATAGCGTACAGAAATCACAGGGTCTTGAAACATGCGTCTTCAAGATAATGTCAGAAAACAGATTGGCCAGTCGGCCTTGAGTTCAGACCCTGAGCTTTCTGCTTCCTGGTTCAGCTGTCACTTCCATCTGAGCCTCACCTCCTCCTCTGAAATAAGAATATTATTGCCCTTGTGTGGACACACTAGGAAAGGCATCTTACTCCACCAGCTTCACACACATAAATATGCTGTCCTCGGTCCTTTCTCTGTAATACCTAACTTCCACATCCCAGGAAACTACACACTTTTTAAGCAAATCACTTGGACAGGAGCCTGACCGCTGCTGGCCTGAGAATATTTATTTGCTGCTTGTAGACCTCATACCGTGTTAATGTTCGGTTGTTTCACCTAGCCATGAGTGAGTGCATTTGCTACTGGATCGGCAAATAAAAAAGCACTGTGTCCTGTTTGCCTTTTCTGTGCTTTCCTTTCCTTCCCCTGGCTTCCTCCTCCAACTCCACCTCTCCCAGTCAAGGTCTTACTATGCAGTCCAAGCTTACCTCAAACTCTCAGTCCTCCAGCCTCAGGGATTATGGACCTGGACCTCATCTCAGAATACCCTTTGTCAAAAACTAGAAACTGTAATTAGTTGAATAACTCGACCAACTAGTAGAGAGCAAGTCTTAAATATTCTTAAACAAAAAAATGATAAATATTTGACCTAATAACATATCAATTACCCTGAAATATCACATGGTAGTCTATGAATACAAACAATTGCTATAGGTCAATTAAAGTAGAAAATTCAAAACTCACTTAAAAATATTTTTTAAAGCCAGATGTGGTAGTACACACCTTCAATCCTAACACTCAGGAGGCAGAGGCAGGCAGACCTCTGTGAGATCAAAGCCAACCTGGTCTACAAAGCAACCTGGTCTGGCCAGCTGGGGCTACAGGGAGACCCTGTCTCAAAAAAATAATTATATATTTTTTAAAGATTCAACTTCTGCAATTAGCTAAGTGTTTGTATGTACATTTGTGTGCATATATCCACATATAAAATAATCCAGGAACACAGTCATTCTTCCTGTGTTCAGCTAGCTCCAATACCATTGACTCATTTTCCTTTTTCAAATGCTGCTCTTGGGCTGGAGAGATGGCTCAGTGGTAAAGCACTTGCCATGCAAGCTTGAGGGTGGGAGTTCAAATCCCTAGGACCCCATGTAAAGCCAGCACAGTAGCTCCTGTCTGCGACCCCAGTGCTCTGATAGGGAGACAGGAGGCAGAGGGACAGGATGATCCCCAGAAGCATGCATGTGAGCTAGCCCGGTGTATGCAAAAGAAAAACAACAGAGGCTTTGTCTCAAACAAGGCAGAAGGCAAGAACCAACAACCACGGTTCCTCTGACACACACAATTTGGAGGGTGGGGGACAGAGGGGCCTGGACCTCTACCTCACATTTTAATTTCTTAAGAAAACAGCCATACTTCTTTCCAACAGGAGATTCCCTGCCCGCTCCTTGCAGAAGGGGGCTCTGAGCCAGGGCTGTGGGGCTCTTGGGAGGAGGACCATGAAAGGTTCACACCTTCATACCAGCTGTGTTGCCAGCAGAGCCTTCTTGCTAAGGTTGATCTGTGTGGGCTGCATGAGACAGGGAGCAGGGACAGTCATTTGTCACCCAAGCAGCCACCTTCCCAGCTGAACTGCACCTTCAGTGCAGCAGAGGCCTGGGAGGCCAGCAGCTGTGGCTGCTGGATGAGGGCCCTGGAGATGGGAGTCAGCTGTCACAAGGCAAGTAAGCTCCTCTTCAGGAAAGGGACAAGGTAAGATTGAGGTAAAGACAAGTTCTCATTGTAACCTGCTAATGAAATCTTCTGTTCCAATTATTCCATTCAGTGACTTTTGATCTAGTTCTTTCACATTAACTGCTATCTCTATAGATGGTTTACCAGAGGAAGCCAGTTTTGTTAATGTAGATAGAAAACTTTTATATTTCTTCAAATTTTCCATAACTTCCATGGCAGCTATGAAGGTGATGATAGCCCCTGGGATGGTGAATCAAGGTGTCCCTGTCTGAACCAGCTCTAGCAGTTCCCAGGGAGTTCCACCCCTGTGTGGATGGAACCATCTAGAACAATCTGAGGCTATACCCTGGGAGAATGCTGTGGTTTACAGTAGGCTGTACCTTCATCTGGGCTTGAGACATTTACTTAATTATGATAGTTGGGTCATCTGCTTTACAATAATAACTGTTCCAGAAGCCTGTTCAGTAATGATTTGACATGTGGAGCACTTGTACGGGTTGCAGGGTGGGGTGCCATGGTGCTCTGAGACTGGGCCCCAGCCTCTGCCTGCATCTGGGCCTGGGCCTGCAATTAAGCCAGAACCTGCTGATGGGCTAAAAGTCAATTCAAAGGCCATGCAACAGGAACATGGTGAATAGAAGCGATCACTGGGAGCTGAGGCCTAGCTATAAGGTTCGTTCCACTTCCTGGGACTGAAAGGCTCTTTTTTTTTTTTAGTTTACAGTAGGCTGTACCTTCATCTGGGCTTGAGATATTTACTTAATTATGATAGTTGGGTCATCTGCTTTACAATAATAACTGTCCCAGAAGCCTGTTCAGTAATGATTTGACATGTGGAGCACTTGTAAGGGTTGCAGGGTGGGGTGCCATGGTGCTCTGAGACTGGGCCCCAGCCTCTGCCTGCATCTGGGCCTGGGCCTGCAATTAAGCCAGAACCTGCTGATGGGCTAAAAGTCAATTCAAAGGCCATGCAACAGGAACATGGTGAATAGAAGCGATCACTGGGAGCTGAGGCCTAGCTATAAGGTTCGTTCCACTTCCTGGGACTGAAAGGCTCTTTTTTTTTTTTTTATTGCTCTGACTGAATATTTTTCATTTCTCTGCAAAGCACCATGGCACTTCCCTGGTACAGTAGTCTTCTCAGGTTGCCAACAAAAATGGAAGGGAGAGATTAAGACCTTCACCTATGACTTCATTTAATCTTAATTTCTTTCTATTTCCAAACACAGTCACTGGGAGTTAGAGCTTTTACATATGAGTTTGAGAACACAATTCGGTCTCCACCACTGGTGATCCTATTTAAAATACCCAATGTGGGGTGAAGAGATGGCTCAGTGGTTAAGAGCACTGAGTGCTCTTGCAGAGGACCCAGGTTTGGTTCCTCCCATCCACATGGTGCTAACAATTGTCCAAACTCCAATTCCAAGGGATCCTACAACATTGGACATTGTACAACATGGTTTCATGCACTTAAATACATGCAGAGAAAACATTTATCCACATTAAAATGCAAAATAAAAATGCCCAAAATGACCTTTAACCACCCTGGGCTCTATGTCACATAAGCTCTTACACACTGCCCTCTAACCTCATTCTTTTTCCTTCCCAACTAGAGAGAAAAACCTTCACTGAGCCTTTAATTGAGCATCTCCTGGACACATGGAGCACAGAGGACATGCAGCTCCTGTTGACTGAAGGGAAAGCCTGGAAAACATTGGTGGCAAAGGCTGACTTGCCCAGGTGACTTCCTCGGGGCCGAGCAATACCAACCAGAGCCCATGCCTGGCTGTGTATTCTATGCATGCATACCCCTTCCAGGCAGAACAAGTTCATGGGATTCAGGACACCCCTTCTCAGAAAATATTTCCCCCATGGTATTCCCTAGCATGGAACAGCCTCCATTCCTGAGCTGATTGCTCCCAAAGGACAGAAACGTTTATATATTATATCCACGTGACCCCGGCTGAACTTCAATGGGACATTAACATGATGCATGTAAATGGCTCAGCATGTGGCTAGCATACAGTAGGTGCTCAATGAAAGTTAGCTTTTAAACTTTACTAAGGAAACACTTATGTTCCAAAGTTCACACTCAGCCATTTTTCTCCCCATCTGAGGAATTGTACAAACACAGCGGGATCCTTATATTTCCTTAGAGGCTGGGAACCCAAAGTACGGTTGGACAGAGCTGGGTTGGACTCTGTCCCTGCCAAGCTTTGAGGCTTATTATGCCTTAAAGACTCAGATTTGCTACCTACAAGAACAGCAGCACAGTCTGATAGGGCGTGGTTGTATTGGTTTCTTTTCTCATGTTATGATCAAACAGAAACAGCCTAGGGAAGGATTGATTTTACTCGGTTTCATATTTTTCAGTCTACTGTGGCACTATAACAAAAGAGTTTGCTTTATGGGGGGCAGGAAACAGAGAAAGGAAATACAGGAAGGAGCCAGAGCAAGATATACCCCCCTTGAAATACCCACAGTGACCCCCTTCTTCCAGGTTGGCCCCAGCTTCTACTTTTAACCAACTCTCAGTAACGCATCTTATTATGAATCCATCCAAGGATAAATCCATTCAGTAGATGAGAGCCCTCATGACCTAATCCTCCTTGGAAATGCAATTACAGACACACTCAGAGTGTGCTCTACTAATTAGTGTTTCTCAAGTCAAGTTGATGATTAAGTTTAACCATCACAGTCTGCCCCTTGTCACCTTGACACCCAAAATAGAGCCTTAAACCATACATCCCACCTCTTGACTCCAAAAGGGTTGTTTCCATTTTACAGTGCAAAGTGCAGTCAATCTATCTCCATGAGACTCACAGTCTTAACAGTTTCAAAATAGTTTAGTTGCTTGGAAGGTCTCTCCATCAGTGAAGTGCTATTGCACAGTCATGAGGACCTGAGTTTGGATCCCCAGCACCCAGAGAAAAAGTTGGACACGGCTATGTGCACCTACAATCCTGGTGCTGAGAAGTATAGACAAGAGGATTTTAGGTCATGCACAAAATATAGACAAATTATCTGCCAGAACATAACATGACTGACCTCCATCTAGTTCTAACACCTCTTATGCCTCTCTGAAACCTCCAACGTCTGGCCCTCTTGTCCACATTCCAGTTGGCATTTTAATTTTCTGAGCTCTCATCAGAATCACCTACTAAATTATGGTTAAGGCACTGTAAGCTTTTTCTTCACCAAACTCATCCAAGTTCCTCCCACAAACCGGTTTCAAACGCTTAAGTACCACATGGTCAGGTTTACAGAATCCCACATTTCCAGTACCAGTATTCTGTATCAGTTTTCTCAACACTAGAGCCAGTAACAATGAGAAACAAGTGAATGGAGGAAGGGTTTATGCTGCCCATGGTTTCAGTCCATTCCATCCAGCCTGAGGGGGAGGGTGTGGAGCAGATCAGTTCTTCTCATGGAAGACAGGAAAAAAAGAAAATCCAAGAATGGGCCAGGGTAAGATATAGGTCCCAAAATATTCTTGCAGTGACCTACTTTCTCTAAGTAGGTCCCATCTTCTACTTCAGCCAACCTTCAATAATGTCATCATATTCTGAAACCATCAAAGGATCAACCTGTTCATTAGGACATCAACCTCATGATCTCATGACTTATGGAAACCCATCACAGACATACTCACAGAGGTGCATTAAACAGAAGGGCAAGATAAAATTTCATCTGATGGTTGGGCTAAAGAGATGGCTCAGCAATTAAGGGCACTGGCTGTTCTTGCAGAGGACCCAGGTTCAATTCCCAGTACCCACAAGGCAGCTAACAACCATCTGTAACTCCAGTTCCAGGGGATCCAACCCCCTCTTCTGACCTCTGTGGGCACTGTACGACACAGGTGCCTTTACACATATGCAGGCAATATACTCATACACATAAAATAAAAATAATAATTACATTTTTAAAAAATATACTGGTGAAGATCTAAAAATAAGCTATGATGTGGTAAGCCCAAAGATCCATGGACCAGTGTAGGAGCCAAAGGTCCTGACAGAGCAGGAGTGAGCCCAGAATGAAGAGAGTTAGAATTCTGGGGCAGCAGAGCTGGGAGAAAAGTGAGGCAAAGGAGTCAGTGAAGACATCGGGTAGAGTGCAAACATGAACCTAGCAGAGGGTAGATATACTGGTGAAGATCTAAAAATAAGCTATGATATGGTAAGCCCAAAGATCCATGGACCAGTGTAGGAGCCAAAGGTCCTGACAAAGCAGGAGTGAGCCCAGAATGAAGAGTTAGAATGCTGGGGCAGCAGAGCTGGGAGAAAAGTGAGGCAAGGGAGTCAGTGAAGACATCGGGTAGAGTGCAAACATGAACCTAGCAGAGGGTATGTGAGAGTAAGAGAGGAAGCTGCCTCTCTCCCTGCTTTGATCCCATCCCTCATCATCATAGTGGACTGTGTTTTAGTCTTCCCTCCAATGCCTCTTGGGCAGGGAGATCTCAAGTGCCATTGGAAACTCTCTTCTACTCTGTATAGAGCTCTTTGCATAGAGCCAATGGGAAGGCCATGTGGTTTAATGACACCTTCTAAAGGCAGCATGACTAGCTGATGATTCTGTGTAATTCAAGAGAGTATGAGGAGACCCACCAAGTCCCTATCGCAACAGTAAATACCTTCTCTATTATTTTGTCCCAATTCAGGTTATTTAAGGCCTTAGAGATTCATACTGCTGGATCTGAGTCTCTTGCATCTTTGCACATGGCATTGGTGTGTATACATGTGACACTCTCCAGCTAAATTTTCAACCTGGTGACTTCCATCAGTAAGTCCCTGAAGGCTCAGGTGTCAGGAGTGGGTAGAGAATCAGTGTACAGCCCAGCCCAATGTATAGCAAGTCTTAAATGTTTCTCAGTCAACTGGGGCAAAGATCTGTTGTCTTGACCTTCAAGTGAGAAAGGAAAAGACATCAGGCACTAGAATAGAGCAGACAGTG